TCCTTGTAAATATGCAGTAAATTATATAATTTGATCTAAACCGAAGTAAAAACTTTGTATTCTTAAAAAACAAATTTTCAATAATATTATTTTTAGGTGATACAGAAAATATACAAAACAATTTTAATTTTTGGGGTTATTTATTTGCTTTATTTACTCATAAATTACGATTATTATGCACCATTTATTGTAGTCAATTAAATAATTAATTATTAGCATTATCCGTATTATTATCTGTATTCTGTATATGTATGTCTGTGTGTTAGTTTTTATTCTTTATTTATGTACGAGCAGGTTTGATTTACCGTCCATTGCGTGCATACCTTACTAAGCTTAATATTATGATGTATTACAAAGTAGGAATTAATTTTATGGGGAAAGGAACGTGGCATGGAGGGGATATCATGGTAGAAAAGCGAACATGTTCGGGTTGACAGCTTATCAAAATTTGTGCTTGTACACATTCACATCGAAAAATTCAATAACGATCCTTTAATGAATTTTTAATTTTGGTTCTAATGATTACACAAACAGGCCTTATTAAAAATATATGTTTATAATATTTATAGGGATAGTGTTATGTGAGAGTGTAAATGTGTAAAAGCGGAAGTGCGCCGATTCCCATTGCACAAATTGCAAATTTCGTTTCACGCCCACTTATCAACATTCAAGATCGTAGATAATTTCTGCGTATTGTTGTTCGTTTTTTGGTAAGTTTTGTGTTCTGCTTTCGTTGCGGAAAGAACTGCTAAATCACTGTACAAAGACCGAAGCGAGACTACGGTCCGCAGAGAAACTTGCGCTTCTGGTCCTCCATGTAATCGCGTGTGGACATCTGGATGGCCTGCTGCAGCATCTCGCTCTCGTTGACTCCTACCGGAAGCAATAATAGGTTATTTTGTATTAACTATGTATATACAATAAGAGATAAAGGGGAAGGAGCACTAGAAATATTTAAGATAAATAGTTGTACCTTGAAGGGACAAGATCAGTTCACACTTATAAACTTTTCAATTATTTTGAACTAATCTTAGTATCAGTCATGAAATCATCTATATAGTGTATATAGTGTAATTTCTTGCAAAAAACGATTTCCTCCTCTAAATCAGAGCGCATTTTCTAACTCACCCTCATCGGCGTAGGATGCCTCGAGCAACTCCTGGTAGAAGCTGGAGTAGCTCTTATCCGTGGGCGACTTGACGTCCCCGCTTTTCTGTGGCGAATGCGACTGCTTGGAGGTGCAGGGACGCTGCTCAGCCTCCGGTGTATTAGCACGAGCCACAGACGGCGCAGAATCACGCTTCGGACTCTTCCTTAGCGGGGCGTCCAATACCTCGGCGCTGCAAGGTAGGAAGGAACGTAAAACCTCAGTAAGCTCGATTAGAAGTCGTCGCGAACACCAACCTCTTGCTCGCCAAGGGAGCCTCGCGAGTTTCGTGGCGCCGCTTCTTTCTCAGAGCAGTGGTGCGTCGCTGTGACTTAGCTGCCTTGCCGGAACGCTGGCCAGAAGCTGTGCTCGGCGATGAGTTACCACCGCAGTGTCCCACCGAACTGGTGCTACTCATATCTGTGGCATCGCTATCGTAGCCAGCCAGCTCGTTCACCTCTGGCGGCAGCTTGTGGCTAAACTGGCCGAGTGTTTTCGGCGAAAGGGAAAACGCAGGGGCGGTGGCATCTCCACCGCTGCCGCTGGTCAAAGTCACAGCCGGATTGCTGCTGCTACCAAGGCCCCCGCACACCGAGTACTTCGAGGGCGAGGCATCCGAATCGGTGAGCGCCTCCGCCGAGGTAACCGTTGAGGATGTGGCCGATCCTGCGGCCGTGTTGCTGCTACGCGAGCGTTGCATGTTCTCGCGGCACCACTGCAGGTAGGACTCGCGAGCAATTTGCTCCTCGATGGCTTCGTTGGTGGCCTCCCAGTCTGTTGTCTTAAGCTTATCCTCGAACATGGTCTGCAATTCGCAACGGTTAATAGGAGGTGGGCGTGGAGAACGTGCCATTTTTACATACTTGTTCAATCTCCAACTGCTCGCTGAGACGCACTGCCTCTTTGGTTTGGATCTCGGGCTTGTAACCAGCCAAGCCCAGGCCCACGCCAACGGTGGCGTTGTAGGGATCTATTATAGCATTGTAGTGTGATCCGCGCTGATAGGACAAACGCAATGGAGGATAGCCTGCCTGCGACTGTTCAGAGTTGAAAATATTGATAGGATCTGCAAACAGAAAATCGTATATTACAATATGATTCGTAATACATTCAATATTATTTTTAAATGACCTTTTATTAACCCTAAATTTTAATCACTTCATTACTTACTTGACTGGTAGCAGTACACTTCAACAGTGCGACTATAGATCTCGGATATGGCCTGGATCTCGATGTGGTTGCCATGGGCGTCACGAGCTCGTTTGCGCTGTATGTAGCTGTTGATGTCCTCGGTGACAAACTGACCGAAATACTCGCGGTTCTCGTGCTGCATTTAAAATCGATAATGTTAAAACATAGTTTGCGTTAGCACAGAAGTAAACATTACAATATAATCCATGGTGTGTTGGCGGATCACGTCGTGCATCTCCTCGTCGCCGTAGATCTGCAGCGAGATGGAGCGAAAAAGGCAGGCGCCGTCCTCTTCGACAGGCTTCAGTTCGTAGCCGCGCTGTTCCATGCACTTGGCGAACTCCACATCGCGGCGCTGCCACTCCTCCACCGGAATCAGGCGCTCCTTGGGCTGAAGATGCTCATCGCCGCTGTTGTAGCCTGAGAAGGTCTCCTCTGCTGATTTCAGCAGACTGGCAGACGCCGCAGGCGTCGTCATCTGGACCTGAGCTTTCGGTACTGTGGCGCAGCCTAGTCCCAGATGTTCGGGTGAGTTTCTGCCCACCGCCGCGGGACTGCTACTGCCAGAAGTTGAAGCCGACGGCGGACTGTTGCACTTGTTGCCAGACACGCCGGGTGCTCCGCTTCCCGCCACCGCCGTCGGATGGTTTAGTTTCTCACGCTCCAGACGATCGCGCTTGTAGTGGTGGGCATGGGTTTCGTGGTGCTCGCGACGCTTCGAACGTGTGCTGGTTAAAAAAAGAAATACGTTAATATTAAATTTCAAATAGATAGTAATAAAATTTAGGATTTTTACAAACGGAATGACAACTATTGATTTGTAGAGTAGATTTTCAAAATCAAACTTTCAGTCGCAGTGCGGTGGGTTTTTAATTTGTGAAACCATTAAATTGGGTATTGTTAATGTAAATAGATGTATGGTCAGACAGTATTATATCCTGTCGAAACTAATAAAGCTCTGTTTAGATTGGATGAGTAGATGAACATATTCTACGAATCAAAATATAGCGCATGTTGTCATATAGAATTCTTATAAATCTGATTTTAGGTAAAACATTTTTCTAAGATATTTTTTAAATTTCTTCGGAGTACATACATATGTATGTGAATTAAAAAATTCTAGCGTTACGAAGTATTTAGAAGAAAATGCTGTTGACCTCTATAGAAAGTACTTTAAAAGGGCCAGTCACGCTCATATTGTAAATCTTCTAGATGGAACCCTTTCTAACTGTTGTAAATTTTCTTGTACTACAAGACATGAACCGGGAACGTAAGGAGAGTCCCCTTTCTTGCTGCCCTAAAGCGAGTAACCCAATTAAATGCAGCTGCTACAGGGCACGGAGCCCCACCCCGGGAAATCCAGTGAGGCCCGCGCCACAATAACTCACCTTTTGTGGGGGCTGCAGCGATGGGTGCGTGCCAGTTCGTCGTAGACCTCACCACGCCTCTGGGGACTCTGAAAAGGGGCGGAAAGAAGGAGCCAATTAATGGGCAAGTCCAGGTGGCGGTTCAGAACAGTGGCCCACTCACCTGACCATGTCCATCGATGACGACGTTGCGATGGTTGTGGGTGTGTGTGTGGGCATGGTTGTGGGTCTGGCTGACCACCGACTGCTCCACCACAACCACCTGGGCCTCCTTGTTATCCGCATCCACATTGCCAGCCACGCGCTTCGCACTCGGTGGTGCGCTCACTGGCTTGATTGTCATGTTGGGGCGCTGCTATTCGTGTGCCCCTCACTGTGCTCTCTCCTTTGTTGTTACTTATCGGGTGGACTTAACACTTTCCTTGGGGCCGAAAAGTGTGCGTCATAGGCGACACCTCTGAGTTTCGATTCGCGTTCCCCACAACTCAGGGAAAACTGTGTGTTCTTTGTCCGAGATGTCGTCGCAGAAAATGCGACCTCAGTGGTTCCTTTCACCCACTGAACACGAAGTTTCTCTTTTTTGCCGGATAGAGGAATCGGTGCGGATCTTTCGTTAGCTGCCTGTGTTGTTTAATTTTCCGATCCTAAATGTGGCTCCGAATCACAAAGACTGCTGGGTTAAAAAAATAAAAATGACATTTCCAGATTTTCATCTGTTCGTGCAAGTGTCTGTGTGTGTGTGTGTGCGCAGTGTTTGCTATTGCTCACAATTATTTGTGCTGGCTCAAAACTCCGCGATAAATGTGGTACACTTCCGGTCACTGTGCTTACACTGTTTGCGGGGAAGTTGTCAGTATTTTATAACCTTTTTCGGGGGTTTTATATTGTTGATAATCCTGTAGTTCGATTTTTTTTATTTTGTGCACGTTGTCCAGTGTGACCGCGCTTTTTGGGCGTTAAAATATGCCCTTGGTCAAATATGGTACTAGAAACATAGTATTTAAATACCTCACTTACACCGATTGTTGTAAAAATACTGCTTGTGCGCGAAATTTTAAAAGCTAAAATAGTCCAACTTTAACAGGGGCACAGATACCTAAGATTTATCAATTAATAAATCACTCAATGCATTAAAAAGCTGAAACTATTAAACTTTATTTTTATTTTTTCTTACTTTACGGTTTTTATTTCTTATTTCAATGTTTAATGTAAATATAACTAACATAGTAACTAACGTGTTATATCTTGGTTTAAAAATTGTAAAATTAAATAAAATTAGTTTTGTATTTATTTAATTAATATATAATACGAAACTTCGAATTCAATATGCAGATATTTATAAACTTGTGTTTAAAATCAAATGTGTTTAATTTTTTCTTGATTATTATTTGACAAGCAAAAGGCAATCGGGGGCTTTCAAATCATATAAAACAAATTCAGAATCTGTCTAATAAGTTAAAAGTCAATATTCGTTTCAGAATTGTATCACGCAGGTTGCCGACTCTTTGTCGTTAGAGATTAAACTCTAAAACATATGTGCAAATATTTAACTGGGTATAACATAAGCGCTTTTTCTTTTGTAGAAAGCTATAAAACGCCATAGAACGTAAATAAAAATGTTAGTCTGCATTCCAACCAAACATGAAGGCCCACGTTTTATTTGCTATTTTTTCGGTGGTTCTAATGGCTATATCATATGCCAACGCCGCAACTACTACCACCACTGAAGCACCCCAATCAACGACAGAATCTCCGTCATATCCACAATGGTCATGGACAGACTTCATTAAGTTTTGCAACGGCAGCAGTAGTGGAAACAAATTCTACTTTTTCTTTTAAAAATCTGCTTAATTAAAATTGATTTTAAAACTTATTAAAAATGTCGATTGGTTCCTTTGTTTAACTTTGTTGGTATTTCTTAAAATATACATTTTTTTACATTTATGTAAGCCCGTTAAAATTTCTAGCCTTATAGTTGGATTTAAAACTAAAGGATTTAAAGTAAAGAAAATTGTTGTACAACCGAAATAAAGAGTAGCAATACCGAAAAAAAACTGTGTAAAACTTTTCAAATGATTTTCCTGTATGATGACAGAATAGATAAACCATTGATAATATAATTACTATTATACCTGTTAATCGTAGAGTAAAAGGGTATACTAGATTCTACGGAAAGTAACAGGTAGAAGGAAGCGTTTCGAAACCTATAAAGTATACATATATTTGATCAGGATCACTAACAGAGTTGAAAAGTTGGAATTTGGCATGCAGATTCAACAGCCTCTTGCGCAGCGCAAGTTTAGCAGGGTGCCACGCCCTCATACGCCCATAGCGCTAAAACCTGTCAAGGTTTGATTAGCAATATCTATCTTCATGCCAAAAATTGTTAAAATCGGATCATCCCAAAGTTATAATCAATTAACGGAATCTACACTAGGTGGCACTGTTGCGGGGCGTGCAATTTTGGAACCGTCGCTTTGCTGCTTGGATATCTCCATTTGACTCGCAAATCCATTAGCTGAGTTGCGGGTATCTGATAGTCGAGGCTGTCGATCATAGCGTTCCCTCTTGTTTTATTATTAATGATACGAGAAGACTCAAAAAGAAAAGTACTCCAAAAATTAAAAATATTTATAAGTTGTAATTTTTGTCACCCACAAGAATAAAACATTTTATAATATTCATATGCATATATTTTACAATCGTACAAATTAAAGTCATCAGCCGTTTTCTTCCGGCCTTATCCATTCCCACGGTTCAACTTTAATATTGATTGTTCCAACCACCCCATCCGCTTCCGTATGGACGCCATCCATAAGGCGTCCAGCTTGGTCTGGCTCCAACTCCCCACCAGTAGGGATACTGTCCAGTTGCGCCCACGTAGCCTCCTTGGATCATAGAAGGGTCACTGGAGCTCTCCAAGCCCTGCATGTTCTGGCCATCTACGGATAGGGCTCCGTTATCCAAGCTTCCGCTGTCTGGGCCGGTGCTTCTGGTCCAGGGATTCGAGTTTTGCAACTGAGCTTCGTTACTGGTCTGACCTCGGGCTAACCGGAAACGGATGTCTGGAGATCGCTGCGCAGTAGAACTGCCTCCCGAGAATCCAGATCGCTGGGACCAGGACTGTGCGCCACGAGTGCCGCCCGCACCTACAATAGAACCAGAAAGGGATGAACCATCTCTGGCGTAGATCTCACCTCCTGTGGTACTTCTTTTAATTATCTTCGACCATGAGTTCGATGAATCTCCTCCACCAACAGAGATGCCTGCATTAACGGCCGGCGGGGTTAGGCGGATTGGATTTGAGGCTTTCTGCGAAGAACTAGACCAGGAGTATTTAGTCTCAGTTTTAGGGACCGATGAAGTTTTCGTCGTAATGATTGTAGTTGTCGTTTTTTTCGAAGAAGACTTGGGAACTGCGGAGCTCTTATAGGTGTAGGTCTTAGTGGTTTTAGTCACTGTTGAACCTGACTTTCCGCCGGTAAGTGATGTGGTGGCGCCAACGGTTGGTAGCGACAAGATACCTGACGATTTACCTCCGATAGTGGACGTTGTTGTGGTTGAAGATTTTGAGCTTGACTTTCCACCATGAGCCACTACGCTAGCATCAACCACTTTAAGAGGTGTGGTGCCCGACTGCTTACTTCCCTTTGTGGTTGTAGTTGTTGTTGTGGTTGACGATCGTATGGTTTTTCCTCCTTTGCTTATGGAACTTTCCTTGATAACTTTGACGACGGGAGAAGAAGGAGTACCAACTAGGCTCTCAGAGGAGGTGGTCGTTGTCACGACCTGATTCGAGCTTTCATTATCATTCAAAGGACTACCCTGAGTGATTTTGATGTGGGGGTCCAAAGAGGATTCTGTTTGACCCTTATCTGAAAAGGTCGTTGTTGTCGTGGTCGAGGAAGTCTTGTTCGATTTTCCATCAATAGAAGATTTTTTTGATGAACTCGAGTAGGAATGCTTGCTCTTAGGTGTAGAGGAAGAGCTTGTTGTTACGGTTTTTGTGGTTTTGCTAGATGTGGAGCTCGATTTTCCATTAGATTTGGGAACCTTAGAGGCCTTTGACGAATGGGATTTTGTTTTTTTAGTTTTAGTTGTCCTGGATTTGCCGCTTGTTGAAGTTACACTGGCGTCTACTTCAGGCAAAGATGAAGAGCTGGACTGATCGCTTCCATCGGTTGAGGTAATTGTCGTTGTTGTTGAAGACTGACTTGAGCTTGCACCATCATTGGAACTATTTCCATCAAATAATGCATCAGACGATTCTGCTCCACTAACGGATGAACTGTTATTTTTACTCTTGTGGAATTTTTCGATCGTGTGGGATTTTTTGCTCTTGTGGGACTTTTTGCTCGACCGCTTGGTCCGAGTCTTACCACCACTGGAAGTTTTCTTCGTTGAGCTCGACTTGGAACGTTTAGTTTGAGGTGTCAAGGAAGAGCTAGTCGTTATTGTTGTATTCGTTTCGCTTGAGCTGGAGTTAGAATTCCCATTAAACTTCGGATTTGTAGTTGATGTTGTTAATGACTGACTCGAGTTTGCGCCATCATTGAAACTATTTTGATCAATTAATGAATCAGACGATTCTGCTTCACTAACGGATGAACTGTTATTTTTACTCTTGTGGCATTTTTTGCTCTTGTGGGATTTTTTGCTCTTGTGGGACTTTTTGCTCGACCGCTTGGTCCGAACCTTACCATCACTGGAAGTTTTCTTGGATGAGCTCGACCTGGGACGTTTAATTTGAGGTATAGAGGAAGTGCTAGTCGTTATTGTTGTAGTAGTTTCGCTTGAGCTGGAGTTAGAATTCCCATTAAACTTGTGAACCTTTGAAGTTTTTGTGGTTTTAGTCCATTTTGAGCCTGATTTTCCACCTTTAACGATAACATCAGAATCTTTCACAGTCGAGGGAGATGGGGTGATGGCTTGACTCTCATTCGAAGATTTTATCGTTGTGGTTGTGGAGGTAGTCGATGACTGACCAGAGTTTCCATTATCATTAGCCGAAATTCCCTTAGTGACTTCTACTGCTGGAGAAGACGACACGGTGGTTTGACCATCATCCGAAGAGGTTGTCGAGGTGCTTGTGGACGACGACTGACTGGAGTTTCCAGCACTGCTTGTTCCCTGAGTGACTTCCACAGTAGGGTCAGATGAGGTGCTGGCTTGACCCACATCCGAAGACGTTGTCGTTGTGGTTGTTGTTGTGGAGGTTGTCGACGACTGACCAGAGCTTCCATTAACATTCGACGATGTTCCCTCAGTGACTTCTACTGCTGGAGAAGACGACACGGTGGTTTGACCATCATCCGAAGAGGTTGTCGAGGTGCTTGTGGACGACGACTTACTGGAGTTTCCAGCACTGTTTGTTCCCTGAGTGACTTCCACAGTAGGGTCAGATGAGGTGATGGCTTGACCCTCATCTGAAGACGTTGTCGTTGTGGTTGTGGTTGTGGAGGTTGTCGACGACTGACCAGAGCTTCCATTAACATTCGACGAAGTTTCCTCAGTGACTTCTACTGCTGGAGAAGACGACACGGTGGTTTGACCATCATCCGAAGAGGTTGTCGAGGTGCTTGTGGACGACGACTGACTGGAGTTTCCAGCACTGTTTGTTCCCTGAGTGACTTCCACAGTAGGGTCAGATGAGGTGCTGGCTTGACCCTCACCCGAAGATGTTGTCGTTGTCGTTGTGGAGGTTGTCGACGACTGACCAGAGCTTCCATCATCACTCGATGAACTTCCCTCAGTGACTTCTACTGCTGGAGAAGACGACACGGTGGTTTGACCATCATCCGAAGAGGTTGTCGAGGTGCTTGTGGACGACGACTGACTGGAGTTTCCAGCACTGTTTGTTCCCTGAGTGACTTCCACAGTAGGGTCAGATGAGGTGATGGCTTGACCCTCATCTGAAGACGTTGTCGTTGTGGTTGTGGTTGTGGAGGTTGTCGACGACTGACCAGAGCTTCCATTAACATTCGACGAAGTTTCCTCAGTGACTTCTACTGCTGGAGAAGACGACACGGTGGTTTGACCATCATCCGAAGAGGTTGTCGAGGTGCTTGTGGACGACGACTGACTGGAGTTTCCAGCACTGTTTGTTCCCTGAGTGACTTCCACAGTAGGGTCAGATGAGGTGCTGGCTTGACCCTCATCCGAAGATGTTGTCGTTGTCGTTGTGGAGGTTGTCGACGACTGACCAGAGCTTTCATCATCACTCGATGAACTTCCCTCAGTGACTTCTACTGCTGGAGAAGACGACACGGTGGTTTGACCATCATCCGAAGAGGTTGTCGAGGTGGTTGTGGACGAAGACTGACTGGCGTTTCCAGCACTATTCGCTCCCTGAGTGACTTCCACAGTAGGGTCAGATGAGGTGCTGGCTTGACCCTTATCCGAAGATGTTGTCGTTGTGGTTGTGGTTGTGGATGTTGTCGACGACTGACCAGAGCTTCCAACATCAGTCGACGAACTTCCCTTAGTGACTTCTACTGCTGGAGAGGACGACACGGTGGTTTGACCATCATCCGAAGAGGTTGTCGTGGTGGTTGTGGATGAGGACTGACTGGAGTTTCCAGCACTGTTCGATCCCTGAGTGATTTCCACAGTAGGGTCAGATGAGGTGCTGGCTTGACCCTCATCCGAAGATGTTGTCGTTGTGGTTGTGGTTGTGGAGGTGGTCGACGACTGACCAGAGCTTCCATCATCATTCGACGAACTTCCCTCAGTGACTTCTACTGCTGGAGAAGACGACACGGTGGTTTGACCATCATCCGAAGAGGTTGTCGTGGTGGTTGTGGATGAGGACTGACTGGAGTTTCCAGCACTGTTCGATCCCTGAGTGACTTCCACAGTAGGGTCAGATGAGGTGCTGGCTTGACCCTCATCCGAAGATATTGTCGTTGTCGTTGTGGAGGTTGTCGACGACTGACCAGAGCTTCCATCATCACTCGATGAACTTCCCTCGGTGACTTCTACTGCTGGAGAAGACGACACGGTGGTTAGACCATCATCCGAAGAGGTTGTCGTGGTGGTTGTGGACGAAGACTGACTGGAGTTTCCAGCGCTATTCGTTCCCTGAGTGATTTCCACAGTAGGGTCCGATGACGTGCTGGCTTTACCGCCATCCGAAGATGTTGTCGTTGTGGTTGTGGTTGTGGAGGTTGTCGACGACTGACCAGAGCTTCCATTATCATTCGACGAAGTTCCCTCAGTGACTTCTACTGCTGGAGAAGACGACACAGTGGTTTGACCATCATCCGAAGAGGTTGTCGAGGTAGTTGTGGACGATGACTGACTGGAGTTTCCAGCACTGTTCGTTCCCTGAGTGACTTCCACAGTAGGGTCAGGTGAGGTGCTGGCTTGACCCTCATCCGAAGATGTTGTCGTTGTGGTTGTGGAGGTGGTCGACGACTGAACAGAGCTTCCATTAACATTCGACGAAGTTCCCTCAGTGACTTCTACTGCTGGAGAAGACGACACAGTGGTTTGACCATCATCCGAAGAGGTTGTCGAGGTGCTTGTGGACGACGACTGACTGGAGTTTCCAGCACTGTTCGATCCCTGAGTGACTTCCACAGTAGGGTCAGATGAGGTGCTGGCTTGACCCTCATCCGAAGATGTTGTTGTTGTGGTTGTGGAGGTGGAGGTTGTCGACGACTGACCAGAGCTTCCATCATCATTCGACGACGTTCCCTCAGTGACTTCTACTGCTGGAGAAGACGACACGGTGGTTTGACCATCATCCGAAGAGGTTGTCGAGGTGCTTGACGACGACTGACTGGAGTTTCCAGCACTGTTTGTTCCCTGAGTGACTTCCACAGTAGGGTCAGATGAGGTGCTGGCTTGACCCTCATCCGAAGATGTTGTCGTTGTGGTTGTAGAGGTGGTCGACGACTGACCAGAGCTTCCATCATCATTCGACGAACTTCCCTCAGTGACTTCTACTGCTGGAGAAGACGACACGGTGGTTTGACCATCATCCGAAGAGGTTGTCGAGGTGGTTGTGGACGAAGACTGACTGGAGTTTCCAGCACTGTTCGATCCCTGAATGACTTCCACAGTAGGGTCAGATGAGGTGCTGGCTTGACCCTCACCCGAAGATGTTGTCGTTGTGGTTGTGGAGGTGGTCGACGACTGACCAGAGCTTCCATCATCATTCGACGAACTTCCCTCAGTGACTTCTACTGCTGGAGAAGACGACACGGTGGTTTGACCATCATCCGAAGAGGTTGTCGAGGTGGTTGTGGACGAAGACTGACTGGAGTTTCCAGCACTGTTCGATCCCTGAATGACTTCCACAGTAGGGCCAGATGAGGTGCTGGCTTGACCCTCACCCGAAGATGTTGTCGTTGTGGTTGTGGAGGTTGTCGACGACTGACCAGAGCTTCCATCATCATTCGACGAACTTCCCTCAGTGACTTCTACTGCTGGAGAAGACGACACGGTGGTTTGACCATCATCCGAAGAGGTTGTCGTGGTGGTTGTGGATGAGGACTGACTGGAGTTTCCAGCACTGTTCGATCCCTGAGTGACTTCCACAGTAGGGTCAGATGAGGTGCTGGCTTGACCCTCATCCGAAGATGTTGTCGTTGTGGTTGTGGTTGTGGAGGTGGTCGACGACTGACCAGAGCTTCCATCATCATTCGACGAACTTCCCTCAGTGACTTCTACTGCTGGAGAAGACGACACAGTGGTTTGACCATCATCCGAAGAGGTTGTCGTGGTGGTTGTGGATGAGGACTGACTGGAGTTTCCAGCACTGTTCGATCCCTGAGTGACTTCCACAGTAGGTTCAGATGAGGTGCTGGCTTGACCCTCATCCGAAGATATTGTCGTTGTCGTTGTGGAGGTTGTCGACGACTGACCAGAGCTTCCATCAGAACTCGATGAACTTCCCTCAGTGACTTCTACTGCTGGAGAAGACGACACGGTGGTTAGAGCATCACCCGAAGAGGTTGTCATAGTGGTTGTGGATGAAGACTGACTGGAGTTTCCAGCGCTATTCGTTCCCTGAGTGATTTCCACAGTAGGGTCCGATGACGTGCTGGCTTGACCGCCATCCGAAGATGTTGTCGTTGTGGTTGTAGTTGTGGAGGTTGTCGACGACTGACCAGAGCTTCCATCATCATTCGACGAAGTTCCCTCAGTGACTTCTACTGCTGGAGAAGACGACACAGTGGTTTGACCATCATCCGAAGAGGTTGTCGAGGTGGTTGTGGATGAAGACTGACTGGAGTTTCCAGCACTGTTCGATCCCTGAGTGACTTCCACAGTAGGGTCAGATGAGGTGCTGGCTTGACCCTCATCCGAAGATGTTGTTGTGGTTGTGGAGGTGGAGGTTGTCGACGACTGACCAGAGCTTCCATCATCATTCGACGAAGTTCCCTCAGTGACTTCTACTGCTGGAGAAGACGACACGGTGGTTTGACCATCATCCGAAGAGGTTGTCGAGGTGCTTGACGACGACTGACTGGAGTTTCCAGCACTGTTTGTTCCCTGAGTGACTTCCACAGTAGGGTCAGATGAGGTGCTGGCTTGACCCTCATCCGAAGATGTTGTCGTTGTGGTTGTAGAGGTGGTCGACGACAGACCAGAGCTTCCATCATCATTCGACGAACTTCCCTCAGTGACTTCTACTGCTGGAGAAGACGACACGGTGGTTTGACCATCATCCGAAGAGGTTGTCGAGGTGGTTGTGGACGAAGACTGACTGGAGTTTCCAGCACTGTTCGATCCCTGAATGACTTCCACAGTAGGGTCAGATGAGGTGCTGGCTTGACCCTCACCCGAAGATGTTGTCGTTGTGGTTGTGGTTGTGGAGGTGGTCGACGACTGACCAGAGCTTCCACCATCATTCGACGAACTTCCCTCAGTGACTTCTACTGCTGGAGAAGACGACACGGTGGTTTGACCATCATCCGAAGAGGTTGTCGAGGTGGTTGTGGACGAAGACTGACTGGAGTTTCCAGCACTGTTCGATCCCTGAATGACTTCCACAGTAGGGCCAGATGAGGTGCTGGCTTGACCCTCACCCGAAGATGTTGTCGTTGTGGTTGTGGAGGTTGTCGACGACTGACCAGAGCTTCCATCATCATTCGACGAACTTCCCTCAGTGACTTCTACTGCTGGAGAAGACGACACGGTGGTTTGACCATCATCCGAAGAGGTTGTCGTGGTGGTTGTGGATGAGGACTGACTGGAGTTTCCAGCACTGTTCGATCCCTGAGTGACTTCCACAGTAAGGTCAGATGAGGTGCTGGCTTGACCCTCATCCGAAGATGTTGTCGTTGTGGTTGTGGAGGTGGTCGACGACTGACCAGAGCTTCCATCATCATTCGACGAACTTCCCTCAGTGACTTCTACTGCTGGAGAAGACGACCCGGTAGTTTGACCATCATCCGAAGAGATTGTCGTGGTGGTTGTGGATGAAGACTGACTGGAGTTTCCAGCGCTATTCGTTCCCTGAGTGATTTCCACAGTAGGGTCCGATGACGTGCTGGCTTGACCGCCATCCGAAGATGTTGTCGTTGTGGTTGTAGTTGTGGAGGTTGTCGACGACTGACCAGAGCTTCCGTTATCATTCGACGAAGTTCCCTCAGTGACTTCTACTGCTGGAGAAGACGACACAGTGGTTTGACCATCATCCGAAGAGGTTGTCGAGGTGGTTGTGGACGATGACTGACTGGAGTTTCCAGCACTGTTCGATCCCTGAGTGACTTCCACAGTAGGGTCAGATGAGGTGCTGGCTTGACCCTCATCCGAAGATATTGTCGTTGTGGTTGTGGAGGTGGTCGACGACTGAACAGAGCTTCCATTAACATTCGACGAAGTTCCCTCAGTGACTTCTACTGCTGGAGAAGACGACACAGTGGTTTGACCATCATCCGAAGAGGTTGTCGAGGTGCTTGTAGACGACGACTGACTGGAGTTTCCAGCACTGTTCGATCCCTGAGTGACTTCCACAGTAGGGTCAGATGAGGTGCTGGCTTGACCGCCATCCGAAGATGTTGTGGTTGTGGTTGTGGTTGTGGAGGTTGTCGACGACTGACCAGAGCTTCCATTATCATTCGACGAACTTCCCTCAGTGACTTCTACTGCTGGAGAAGACGACACGGTGGTTTGACCATCATCCGAAGAGGTTGTCGAGGTGCTTGTGGACGACGACTGACTGGAATTTCCAGCACTGTTCGATCCCTGAGTGACTTCCACAGTGGGGTCAGATGAGGTGCTGGCTTGACCGCCATCCGAAGATGTTGTCGTTGTGGTTGTGGAGGTGAAGGTTGTCGACGACTGACCAGAGCTTCCATCATCATTCGACGAAGTTCCCTCAGTGACTTCTACTGCTGGAGAAGACGACACGGTGGTTTGACCATCATCCGAAGAGGTTGTCGAGGTGCTTGACGACGATTGACTGGAGTTTCCAACACTGTTTGTTCCCTGAGTGACTTCCACAGTAGGGTCAGATGAGGTGCTGGCTTGACCCTCATCCGAAGATGTTGTCGTTGTGGTTGTGGAGGTGGTCGACGACTGACCAGAGCTTCCATCATCATTCGACGAGCTTCCGTCAGTGACTTCTACTGCTGGAGAAGACGACACGGTGGTTTGACCATCATCCGAAGAGGTTGTCGAGGTGGTTGTGGACGAGGACTGACTGGAGTTTCCAGCACTGTTCGATCCCTGAGTGACTTGTACAGTAGGGTCAGATGAGGTGCCGGCTTGACCCTCACCCGAAAATGTTGTCGCTGTGGTTGTGGTTGTGGAGGTGGTCGATGACTGGCCAGAGCTTCCATCATCATTCGACGAACTTCCCTCAGTGACTTCTACTGCTGGAGAAGACGACACGGTGGTTTGACCATCATCCGAAGAGGTTGTCGAGGTAGTTGTGGACGAAGACTGACTGGAGTTTCCAGCACTGTTCGATCCCTGAATGACTTCCACAGTAGGGTCAGATGAGGTGCTGGCTTGACCCTCACCCGAAGATGTTGTCGTTGTGGTTGTGGTTGTGGAGGTTGTCGACGACTGACCAGAGCTTCCATCATCATTCGACGAACTTCCCTCAGTTACTTCTACTGCTGGAGAAGACGACACGGTGGTTTGACCATCATCCGAAGAGGTTGTCGAGGTGCTTGTGGACGACGACTGACTGAAGTTTCCAGCACTGTTCGTTCCCTGAGTGACTTCCACAGCTTGACCCTCATCCGAAGATGTTGTCGATGTGGTTGTGGAGGTGGAGGTTTTCGACGACTGACCAGAGCTTCCATCATCATTCGACGAACTTCCCTTAGTGACTTCTACTGCTGGAGAAGACGACACGGTGGTGTGACCATCATCCGAAGACGTTGTTGAGGTGCTTGTGGACGACGACTGACTGGAGTTTCCAGCACTGTTTGTTCCCTGAGTGACTTCCACAGTAGGGTCAGATGAGGTGCTGGCTTGACCCTCATCCGAAGATATTGTCGTTGTGGTTGTGGTTGTGGAGGTTGTCGACGATTGACCAGAGCTTCCATCATCACTCGATGAACTTCCCTTAGTAACTTCTACTGCTGGAGAAGACGACACGGTGGTTTGACTATCATCCGAAGAGGTTGTCGTGGTGGTTGTGGATGAGGACTGACTGGAGTTTCCAGCACTGTTCGATCCCTGAGTGACTTCCACAGTAGGGTCGGATGAGGTGCTGGCTTGACCCTCATCCGAAGATGTTGTCGTTGTGGTTGTGGTTGTGGAGGTTGTCGACGACTGAGCAGAGCTTCCGTCATCATTCGACGAACTTCCCGCAGTGACTTCGACTGCTGGAGAAGACGACACGGTGGTTTGACCATCATCCGAAGAGGTTGTCGTGGTGGTTGTGGATGAAGACTGACTGGAGTTTCCAGCACTGTTCGATCCCTGAGTGACTTCCACAGTAGGGTCAGATGAGGTGCTGGCTTGACCCTCATCCGATGATGTTGTCGAGGTTGTTGTGGAGGTGGTCAACGACTGGCCAGAGCTTCCATCATCATTCGACGAACTTCCCTCAGTGACTTCTACTGCTGGAGAAGACGACACAGTGGTTTGACCATCATCCGAAGAGGTTGTCGAGGTGGTTGTGGACGATGACTGACTGGAGTTTCCAGCACTGTTCGTTCCCTGAGTTACTTCCACAGTAGGGTCAGATGAGGTGCTGGCTTGACCCTCATCCGAAGAAGTTGTCGTTGTGGTTGTGGTTGTGGAGGTTGTCGACGACTGAACAGAGCTTCCATTAACATTCGACGAAGTTCCCTCAGTGACTTCTACTGCTGGAGAAGACGACACAGTGGTTTGACCATCATCCGAAGAGGTTGTCGAGGTGCGTGTGGACGACGACTGACTGGAGTTTCCAGCACTGTTCGATCCCTGAGTGACTTCCACAGTAGGGTCAGATGAGGTGCTGGCTTGACCGCCATCCGAAGATGTTGTGGTTGTGGTTGTGGTTGTGGAGGTTGTCGACGACTGACCAGAGCTTCCATTATCATTCGACGAACTTCCCTCAGTGACTTCTACTGCTGGAGAAGACGACACGGTGGTTTGACCATCATCCGAAGAGGCTGTCGAAGTGGTTGTGGACGAAGACTGACTGGAGTTTCCAGCACTGTTCGATCCCTGAGTGACTTCCACAGTAGGGTCAGATGAGGTGCTGGCTTGACCCTCATCCGAAGATGTTGTCGTTGTGGTTGTGGTTGTGGAGGTTGTCGACGACTGACCAGAGCTTCCATCATCATTCGACGAACTTCCCTCAGTGACTTCTACTGCTGGAGAAGACGACACGGTGGTTTGACCATCATCCGAAGAGGCTGTCGAAGTGGTTGTGGACGAAGACTGACTGGAGTTTCCAGCACTGTTCGATCCCTGAGTGACTTCCACAGTAGGGTCAGATGAGGTGCTGGCTTGACCCTCATCCGATGATGTTGTCGAGGTTGTTGTGGAGGTTGTCGACGACTGACCAGAGCTTCCATCATCATTCGACGAACTTCCCTCAGTGACTTCTACTGCTGGAGAAGACGACACGGTGGTTTGAACATCATCCGAAGAGGTTGTCGAGGTGGTTGTGGACGATGACTGACTGGAGTTTCCGGCACTATTCGTTCCCTGAGTGACTTCCACAGTAGGGTCAGATGAGGTGCTGGCTTGACCGCCATCCGAAGATGTTGTCGTTGTGGTTGTGGTTGTGGAGGTTGTCGACGACTGACCAGAGCTTCCATCATCATTCGACGAACTTCCCTCAGTGACTTCTACTGCTGGAGAAGACGACACGGTGGTTTGACCATCATCCGAAGAGGCTGTCGAAGTGGTTGTGGACGAAGACTGACTGGAGTTTCCAGCGCTGTTCGTTCCCTGAGGGACTTCCACTGTAGGGTCAGATGAGGTGCTGGCTTGACCCTCATCCGATGATGTTGTCGAGGTGGTTGTGGAGGTGGTCAACGACTGGCCTGAGCTTCCATCGTCATTCGACGAACTTCCCTCAGTGACTTCTACTGCTGGAGAAGACGACACAGTGGTTTGACCATCATCCGAAGAGGTTGTCGAGGTGGTTGTGGACGATGACTGACTGGAGTTTCCGGCACTATTCGTTCCCTGAGTGACTTCCACAGTAGGGTCAGATGAGGTGCTGGATTGACCGTCATCCGAAGATGTTGTCGTTGTGGTTGTGGAGGTTGTCAACGACTGACCAGAGCTTGCATCATCATTCGACGAACTTCCCTCAGTGACTTCTACTGCTGGAGAAGACGACACGGTTGTTTGACCATCATCCGAAGAGGTTATCGAGGTGGTTGTGGACGAGGACTGACTGGAGTTTCCAGCACTATTCGTTCCCTGAGTGACTTCCGGTAAGGTGCTGGCTTGACCATCATCCGAAGATGTTGTCGTGGTGGTTGTGGATGAAGACTGACTGGAGTTTCCAGCACTATTCGTTCCCTGAGTGACTTCAACAGTAGGGTCAAATGAGGTACGGGCTTGACCCTCATCCGACGATGTTGTTGTGGAGGTGGACGATGACTGGCCACAAATTCCTTTACAGTTCGAGGATGTTTCCTTAGCAGAGCTCTCATCGGATAATTCAAGTATTTTTTTCCCGTTAACACAATTCACGTAATTCGGATTTCCAAGCAGTTCTCCGTCATGCAAGAGAAGCAACTTTCCGAAAAGCCTGTCCAGCAGCCACAGACGTATATCCTTTCGTATTTCAATTAAAGTTTGTCGAACACCTTCACAACATGGCTGAGCCTTTATATCCGGGGTGGCTACCGCCGTAACCGTTTTAGATTCGGATTGGGCCGCTGCGAGGGCCACAAGAGCGGCAAAAACCGCGACGAAAAACAAGCGCATGGTCCGCCAAGAAAGCGGGAGTCGGATCAATTAGATCTGTTGGCCAAATTTAAATTTCGAAACCTTTTATACCCGCTGGCTCGGAGTTTCGTTATTTTTTCGGCTATTTGCGTAGATGCTTGTCTAGCTTGCAAATTTTATTTGTTGAAGAACATTTGGTACTTCTATTGTTTCCACCAAAACATAAAAAACTGAGCAAATTGTCTATACTATACGTTAAAGTCAATATCTTTTAAATACCCATTAGAGAAACAACTGTGCAAAATATTTATTCTTAGCTGGGATTAAACACTTGTTAGATATTTTGACTTTACGTAAATCGCTCGCTCGTGTCAGATGTATACGTCAGAGGTGCATTAACCGATTTTTTAACAATTGCTTTAAGCCACACGAGAACCTTTTATTTGGTCAGCCAGTTCTCAATAAAAACTCAAACAGTGTAGAGGAAAGCCAAAACGTAATATTCATGTTTGTTTATTCGTATGGTTAAAGATTAAATGATTATGTAACAAATTATAAATTTGAACTGTGCACTGTGTTGTCTACTAGTATTCGTCCTTCTCGAAAGGGTGGTGGGGGTGACCGTACTGGCTGTAAGTATTAACATTAGAAATGTATTAGTTAGGTTCATAAAATTATGATTTTATAAACTACTTTTTAAGAACCAAAGCAATTCATAGCTTAGGAAACATTTGGTTAGCTATGGCAACTACAACTATTTTTATGCATTTAATATGTTCAAATTATTTAACAAAGCAAATATAGAATGTTAGGTAACAAGCTGGGGAAGGTAAGCTAACAAATAAACTAAGTAAACTAAGCTTAAGAAAACACAAACATAGAAAGATAAACACATATGCGCTTAAAAATATGAAAACATACGTTAACCTCATGTTCATGTTTATGTAGATCAGCATTATACTTGGATATTTTTCTTGATAGAGTTTCAGTTTTCAATAGGTATAATTTCTCATTTAAAAGAATTCTTCTTTATAACTTCTCGCTTTGCAGATATCGATTTCTTAAAGCTTAATACTCGTCGTGAAATGGATAGTACTTGTGGGTACCAGCATCTCTAAATAAATACAAATAAAGTTTCGATTTATAAAGGTATAGAAAAAGGTTTCGGTGGCGTTGTGAAAGTAACGATAAGACGTGAAAGGTAGGAATAATATTTTAAAATAATATAATTCAGATTTTGGTCAAATACCCTTTAAACCAGGCTTTATAAATAATGTAAATAAAGAAATAGGTATTTTCGGAGTACTACTGGACTTACTTAAGCAGGGGCACCAGGCGACCATTGCACTCGAAGCTCTCGATGGTTTCAATTTCTTCGGGCGTCAGCTCAAAGTCGAAGACCTGGAAGTTGGACTCGATGCGACTCTTGGTAACAGACTTGGGGATGACAATGTTGGCACGCTGAATCTGGTAACGAATGAGGATCTGTCCAGGAGTCTTGTTCTTCTTGGCAGCAATATCCTTAATCTACAAATTTAAAACATACATTATTTTACGTTCAATTTAGCTTGTTTGTAACACAGAAAACATACCTTAGCCTCCTCTAGGATGACCGGATCACCAGCCTTGGCCCATGGGCGGTTGGGAGATCCCAAGGGACTGTAGGCTGTGATCGTAATGTCCTTCGATTTGCAGAAATCGATCAGTTTCTTCTGTGTCAGGTAGGGGTGGCATTCAATCTGGTTAGTTGCTGGTGGGATCTTGGCCACCTCAAGCACGCGCTCAATCTGCCTCCTGTTAAAGTTGGAGACACCAATGGACTTGACCAGACCTTCCTCCACCAGCTTCTCCATGGCCTTCCAGGTATCGACGTAATCGACCGGCGAGTACAGGGTCTTGCCATCCTTATCGGTGGGGAACAGTTCGCAGCCTTCCTTGTAACCCATGGGCCAATGGATAAGGTACAGATCGAGGTACTTCAGCTTAAGGGCACTTAATGTGTTCTCCACAGCTGTCTTGACCAGATCCGGGCGATGGAAAGTGTTCCACAGCTTGCTAGTGATGAACAGATCCTCACTGCAAGATAATAAAGTTAATTAACAGAATTCTAGGAATAGAAAACAAGTTTAGAACTTACCGCTTAACAACGCCCTCCTTGATCTTGGCCTCAACTCCATCTCCAACCTCATCTTCATTTTGGTAGACAAAAGCACAGTCGATGTGCCTGTATCCGGCATCAATGGCCACCTTCACAGCCTCGGTGACCTCTCCCTTTGGGCTCTGAAAACATAAGGGTATTCGATTAGTTTAAGTATAATACATTTCTTAGTTTAATTCATATCCATTTAATTAAATGGCTAAGCGAATGTAATTCCAGCCTTAAAAGTTCGCTAATATACCTACATTCATGTTTTATTGGTATGACAGCACGCTTTGTATACTGCACAGCTTTAGTAAGAATCAGGCTATAATAAGTTCTATAATTGGCTTTCACACTTTTCAGGGCTATAAAATTATGTGCCTACATTTTTTGCAAGTAACACTGTGAATAAGAGTGGAAGGTCTTTTGGGACGTATAAAACTTAATTACCTGCAGCATTGATAGTACGTCATCATGGAACATTCGAAGCTCTAAACAGAATTTCGCAATTCGTTGTCGAGCAAAGTTTCAGTTATGAGGAGCGTGATTCGGAAATCAAAATACTGTAGGTCTGCCTATCTGACACTTGACGTCACTTATCAGGCCCCTTGGTTCCCGCATCCTAAATATGTACCCAGAAAGATCATAGATGGGTCAGACTATTAAAATACATACATTTCAGATTCAATCACGTGAATTTTTTTAGGCTTATATTGGACCTTTTTTACAAAAATAAACGGATGTATATTTAAAACGTCATTTTCTAAACTGATAATTGGTGATTTATAATTGAAATTCTGTGTAATCTTTTAGAGGAAAGAAAGGTTAAAGACTTTCATTTAATTTTGACATAATACGTTTATATTAGGGAAACTTAATTCAGTTTAATTTATGGGTGTGAGCACCAAGCCTCCTCCAATTCTGCTCCACAAATAGAACACGTAAACTAAACAGATAAGACTTATTAAAAATACCCTTATAATACCCTTGCTAATTAAACGCCGCTTATCAGCGAGTTTTCTCACTGTAATCTGAATAGCATTTCCATTAGAATTCGTATTGAGCTTAGAGGTTCGAGTTCTGAGGGGCGCGTCTTTAATGAATACTAAAACTGCAACCTATCCCCATTTTAATTTCGTAAAATATCATAGTTTTTGAGCTTAAGGCCACCTTGCTACAGCTAAATTTAAGTTCGCCTGTAAAATATAGATTATGAACGAACATTCTATAATTATACATTTCATAAAATCTTCAAACAAATGCTGAATCAATAATCTTGTCACGAAATAATCCACTTCAGATAAGAACTTTTATCAGCTCTTGTCAACACATAATACTTGTAGAAACGACCAACTACTTATGTGCCCCAAATATATGGATGTTTGCGGGGTGTATATCAAGCAGTGATGTGGCAAATAATTGCAAAAGTTTCCACTGCCATAAGAAGGTAAAAAGGTCACCTTGGCGATAGGGTCATTGAGATCTTCAAATCACGTAGTATATGATGTTGTGTGAAAGTGTTCTAGTAATTAGCATAAGGGAATATCAGTTATTTTTGTACCATAGCTGTAAGATTCGACACTCCCATACGAACATGTTATACTTAAATATGGCAAAATATAGCCGGCAAACTATCAGCAATACGACGCGTGTCATTATTTTTATCCCCCATTTTTTTAAGCACCAGTGCAAAAAGAGATGAGAAAAAACGGGAAGTCGTGGGCAGCGGAAAACTACCCGATTATGAGACACAAATACAACTGCAAACATTTGCAACTGCTATAAAGTAATTTGTGCAGTTACTTGATAATACTATACTTACTCCCCAGGTTCCCAGACCAAGGATTGGGATTTCCTTGCCGTTGTTGAATTTCACATTTGGCACAGCCATTTCAATCGAAATTCTCTTCTTTTGTTTACTGGTAAAGGATTTTAAATATTTATAGTGCAGAACCTTTCGATTACTGCCTCTTCTTCACAAACTAAACGATTCCCCTCAGCTGATTCCCGTTTTTATACGAACCGAAAGCTTTCGGAACAGGGCTGCAACATACCGTCTGGCAAAACAGCTGAGCGATCGTCAGTTAGGTTTAAATATTCCGGTTGTTGAAATATAATATCAGAGAAAAAATTAATATTGTACTTTAAGTTTAACTTAATGTTTGCTAAACAATTTAAAGTTGTCGTGAACTTTAATAGACGCAAGGGTATATATATACGGTACATACATCAATTTAGGTTCGATTTGGAGTTGCAAAAGTTCCCTAAGAGAGATGCGTAAGCTCTTTAAGGCCCGATAAGTGCACAATTGTATTTTAATCATAGTTACGAGTAAGATTCTGATCTATCACGTTTTCAAATACATTTAGATATAGTTCTCATGGATGATATGGATACGATATAGAGATACTGAAAATATATTCACTAATACTTACATTCCAAGTGCCAAGTCCAATTACTGGAATCTCCTTTCCGTCTAAGAAAACCACTTTGGGAACTCCAGCTATTTCCTTCTGGCACCTATTGCAGGGAATTATTTCAAAGATTTTTACGTACAACATTTTCCCAATACATTACCACATAAAACGCTCGATCTTGCCATAGTTTCTTAATGTTAAGCCCAAAACAGGTCGAACCAGTCGAATTTTCAATAAGCTGTTCATTTTTATATGATTGTGAAATAAATTTTCTATTATTTTAGTATTTGAATGCTTTGACAATGCAATGGCTACTTTGTAGTTCCATTTATATCTAAACAAAAAATAACAAAATAAAAGTGTATATAAATATGAAAAGCCACATCTTAGAGAAACTTGACAATGATTATTTTAAAAGGTACTTTCATACCTCTAAATGTTGTCCTGGCAGTTCCAATCCCCAGGGTATTATTAGAAAAACTTACACAGTAAAATATGTTTATTACATTATCACTAAATAACACATTGTGTCACATTATTACATCTCTCATCCATTTTTAACGGAGGTAGTAGAAATTCGATCGCCTCTTCAACATAATGAGCAACCGTAATATTTAATTTTGGGTAGGACACGTTCAACATCTTATTTTAATTATTTACTTCGCCTGTACGGGTTCAAAGGGATGATGACGGTGTCCATAGGCACTGAAAAGATAAGATGTATTACATTTAAGAAGTGATAAATGAAAATGCTGAAAAAAGGATCCTAAATATTAGGATCATAATTTAGGGGTATAGCTGAAATGATTCCCGGATAAAGAGAATAGGCTTAGCTTGATAATTAAGAAATGGGAAAACAAAATGTTCGGTTTAAATTTAACACCTACGCCTTCATGGTCATGAAACGACCATTACAGTCCAAATCATATATTGCCTTTACATCATCGCTGGCCAGTTCAAAGTCCCAGATTCGCCTGAAGTTGTCCAGCATGTGCTGTTTGCTCACGGATCGAGGGATAACGATGATGCCCGACTGTGTCTGATAGCGGAGGAGCACCTGGAGGATCGTGAGAAATAGTAATCCAGTTTAACGAAATATTATAATATAATATATGTACCTGTGCCGGTGTCCTTTCGTATTTCTCGGCTATAGCCAGGATGGTCGGGTGCTGAAGTAGAGGATACGCTCCGGGCTTTTCATAGGGCGTGTGTCCTGAACCCAGACAGCTGTAAGCGGTTACAGCAATGGCATTATCGTAGCAAAGGGTGATCAATGACTTTTGACTCAGGTACGGATGACACTCGATCTGCAGAACCACCGGCTTTAGCTTGGCAACACCCAATAGGCGAGTGATTTGTTGTTCATTGAAGTTAGATACGCCGATAGCCTGGCACAGTCCCTCATCGACCAGATCTTCCATAGCGCGCCATGTGTCCACGTAGTCGATGTCCTCAAATGCGGCTTTATTGGTATCCGGACAGGTGGGATATAGGTTATCGCCTGACTTGTAGGCCATGGGCCAGTGCATTAGGTATAGATCCAGGTAGTTCACGCCCAAGTTCCTCATACTTGTCTCGCAGGCGGGTCGAACCAGCTCCGGTTTGTGGTGGGTATTCCAGAGCTTGCTCGTGATAAAGAGGTCTTCCCTGGAAAATCAAGGTTTAAGATATTGATTTAAATGTTCCTCAAAAGACCACTTACCGGGTAACAACGCCCTCATCCATTTTCTCCCGAAGAGCAGCGCCCACTTGGGCCTCATTTCCATATATGTGGGCGCAATCGAAGTGGCGATACCCTATATCTATAGCATCCTTTACCGCCTGAGTGACGACCTCCGGTGGGCTCTAAATTGGGGAATATAGGTGAACAGGTGAAAAAAGTGCAACAAAAGCTTTCCAATAAGGAGCTTTGACATTGACCGTGAAATGCACATTTCTGTGGGTCGATTATTTAATAGCATTATATATACGAGCACTCACCCGCCAAGTTCCAAGACCCACCATGGGCATATTTTTTCCATTGCTTAAAAGAAAGTTTGGCGTCGACATTTTTGATCTTTCGATTGCCGAGTCCTTTTGGTCCTTGTAAAGTACGGATTTGATACTGGCTTGTGTTTTCAAAGCTTTAATTTGTAATTTACCAAATGAACTAAACCCAAAGGCCTATTAAACTGGCCACAAACGACATTTTTTGTGACAGCTTTGGTATCACAAACATATATAAGTGAACTGTTTAAATTTAGAAATTTTTTGGGCAAGCAAAAGACCTTCGCGAAACATAATCGATTCGACACAGAGGAGTGTTTTAAAATGTTTTATTAAATTAATTAACATTTGAATTATGTTTAGACAGTGTTGTATTATGGAGGGTTCTAGTTTAATCTATAGACTTAATTACATTTTTAAAAAAAATTGTTTAATTTTTAGCTATAACATCGCGTGCTTTAGTTTTTCCTCTTTTAAAAATGTTAGTCTAAAAAGCTTTAAATTAAGTTTGCGCAAGAGGGTTTAAAAAGATAATGGGTCGGATAGTTTAGAGTCGAAAGTTTATAGCGCAAAAATAAATTTAATTTCAGCCTTTTCGACAAATATCGATACAGTATCGATACATCGATGATTTTTGCCATCCCTGACAATTGAGTACCATCGCTGGGCTGTTATCACTAGTTTTGCCGCTTGCAAAAAAATAACAAACAATGTTCGGAACCGTAAATAACTATTTATCAAGCGTGCTGCATGCTGCCCAGGATTACGATGGCGAATCTCTGGGCACCCACCTCTCGCTGCGGGATGTGCACGTGCAGAACCACAGCCTATACATCGCCCAGCCGGAGAAGCTGGTGGACCGATTCCTGAAGCCGCCATTGGACGAAGTGGTGTGTGCCCACCTAAAGGTGCTCTACCATTTGGCACAGGAGCCTCCTGGCTATATGGAGGCCTACACCCAGCAGGCTGCAGCATGCGGAGCCGTTGTGAGGCTCCTGCAACAGCTGAAGGATGAGAACTGGTGCCTTCCACTGATGTACCGCGTTTGCCTGGACCTGAGATACCTGGCGCAGGCCTGCGAGAAGCATTGTCGAGGATTCACACCCGGTCATGTGTTGGAGAAGGCCGCCGACTGCATGATGGCCTGCTTCCGCGTGTGCGCCGCCGATGGACGCGCCTCGGAGGAGGATACGAAGCGCCTGGGTATGATGAACCTGGTCAATCAGCTGTTCAAGATCTACTTCCGCATCAACAAGCTGCATCTCTGCAAGCCCCTCATCCGCGCCATTGACAATTGCGTGTTTAAGGACTCCTTTCCGCTGCCAGAGCAAATTACCTACAAGTATTTTGTGGGCAGGCGGGCGATGTTTGACTCCAATTACCAGGCTGCTGTGCAGGATCTGTCGTATGCCTTCAGCAACTGCCCCGATCGGTTTGCCAGCAACAAGCGGCTGATTCTCATCTACTTGGTGCCGGTGAAGATGCTGCTGGGTTACCTGCCAACCAAAGCACTCCTGCAGCGCTATGATCTCCTGCTATTCCACGATCTTGCACTGGCCCTGAAGGCAGGCAATGTAAATCGCTTCGATGAGATTGTCAGGGATCAGGAGCTGGTGCTGATCAGGAGTGGCATCTATCTGCTTGTGGAGAAGCTAAAGTTTCTTGTGTACCGGAATCTGTTCAAGAAGGTTTTTGCCATCCGGCAAACCCACCAGTTGGACATGGCCGACTTTCTCTCGGCTCTGCAGTTTGTGGGTCTGAGCGATGTTTCTCTGGACGAGACGCACTGCATCGTGGCCAATCTCATCTACGAGGGAAAGATCAAGGGCTACATCTCACATGCCCACAACAAGCTGGTCGTTTCCAAGCAAAATCCATTCCCCTCCGTATCCACGTAGTGCATTTAATTGATTGTGAATTTCTAAGAGTAAAGGACTTCAATTTAAACTGTGTTTTATTTTTGTAAGTAGGGAACATCATTGAATTCACTTTAAAAAATTGTCAAATGTAAGATTTATTCCAAAAGTTTATTCCAAGAGTTACAACTTGATTTGGAGATTTAAAAACAGAAGTATTAAAATAATAAAATCATTTTTTAAATAGAAACAGAATAGAAATTGTCTGTGCTTTTGATCACATCATCCTTGATCCCTTTTTCGGCCAATCATTATAACCATCTAGTCTATTTGGGTCTGCAACATAAGCTCTTTTATAGGGGTTTGATTCAGAGCCCGTAAAAGGAGCTGGTGATAATTGGGATAAATTCATTGTTAAATTAAAATCAAAATAAATAAATTTTTGACGACAACCGTAGTTAGTTTTGCGTTCTTTATTTAGTTGTTGAACTTGGTTTTAGGATGTAGTCATTATTTTAATGTTTTTAACACTTTTTTAAAACCTTTTTTACACAATGAATTTAAATTTTAAGAAAATTAATTAGTTTAATTTGTGGTATTTCTTGAAACTGAAAAATACCATTCTAATACCAAATTAAGTCATTAGTGGTATTTATTGTAAGCCCGGCTGGTATTTTCAATAGGTATCGCCGCGGTCACACTACTA